TGGACTTCTTTGGTTTTCTTGAGGCTCTTATAGTGAAGAAAAAGAAAGTATGAAGAACTTTTGGATATTGAAAAGTAAAAAAAATATTGTATATAGGAAAGAGTTTTTTTATATTTATTTATATTATTAAATTTGATATTATATAAAATATATATAAAAAGAAGATCTTATTTATTCTTTTGTTATATATTAATTTATTAATTAAAAATTTTCAATCAATTATTAATCATGAGATTTGATATCATTAAAAATTTTGAATAAAACTAAGATAAACAAAATTTTTTAAAAATTTTTTTAAAAAAGCTTATATACTAAAGAAAAAACAAAGAATTTCAAAGATAATATAAAGTTTATGAAATTAAATATTTGTTTTTTAAGGCCTTGAATTTCAAAAGAAATTGAAAAAAATATTTCAAGACATGTTTTTTTCAATAAAACGTTTCTTACTTTAGATCTTATAGGTAATTTCTTGTTTTCTTTTTAAAACACAAGGGATTTGTATCAAAGAAAAAAAAAATGAAAAAAACAAAGTCTTGTAATAATAATGATGTTAAAAAAGTGAATAGACTTTAATATTAAATTATCTTAAAACATCTATTTTTTGAATTGACAAAATGATCAAATATAAATAAATATAAACAAATATACAGTATTAAATATAAAATTTAAATAATTTCTTTTTAATGTCTGTAATAATGATAATTTTAATAATTTATTTAAATAATTCAGATACTTAAATTACAGGCATGCGTCAGCAATATGGATTAACAACTATTTTGATCTTGGACAATCAATCTCTTCAATAACACCCCACATCTCTCTAACGAGACGCAACTGACTTTGCCTGGCACTCTCGTCTCCATCGCAAGGAGATCCACTACGTATTGCTAAATATTTTCGTCCAAAAAGATCTACTGGACCCTCATCAGGACCCTGACTACTTGTCATGTAGCCCCCCGCCTCATTTAAAATCACCAGTGCTGCGGTCACATCCCTAGAAATTGGTTGCATACGAGGTTAAAGCATTTCTAAAAATAAAAAAAGAAAGAAAAGGTGTACTTACCATTCCCAACATCCAACTTCGTAATACAAATCAATTAAACCTTGTGCTACGCAACAAATGTTCAACGCGGCACTACCCATACTTCTGATCCCACGTACGAATCCTGCTTTCTTTTCGCTCCA